AATCATCCCACATTACAAACCAAGCATCAGTGTGAGTGCCTATTCCGAATACACGGCTCGCTTCCTTCGTAATTACTCCGCGAGTTGGGGGACTGTTCCCTTTAAAGTTACCCAGATGGCAACATAGTTGACGACGAACCCAGACCAATAATGTCAAATGAAATAGTTAATAATAACAAAGTTGAAGTTATTAGGTTCTGTTTCATTTAAGATTTGTATTTCACTGGTGAAATGATTACAGAGCTGCCAGAAACTATGCTATATAGAGGTGTATAGCATGGTATATAGTTTTTAATTTAACGCCACACTCAGCTATATTTCAGCTATATGACAGTGGTCTGTGAATTATCGACCATATGGACCAGACAATCAATCCATCGATAGACATCATGAGCATTGATCAACAGAAATGGGATACGATTACATAAGCCACCCGATCCCGTTAATAAGTGTCGAATCTTGCGACAACCATGGGTTGCTGCAGACCAGTTCTATTCCGGATCTTCATGGGGTGAGTGGTGTATATTGTAATACATGTGGGGTGAAATGGAGTTTAACCTCGCGTCCAAGATTGTTGCACATATATAGCGACATGCATGCACGTGTATGTGTGTGGCTGCTTGTACCAGTCCGGACTGATGCCGATTTATAGTGCTAGCCCACTGAGATACCATGCGCAGTTTAACATGAATACCCCACTCAGACACAGTATACTGACTCCGAGCTGACCAGTCCTTGTTTTAGCCCCTTAACGCCGAGCTCCAGGCAGGGTACCAACACGTACCATATTTAATTGTACAGTACACTACGGTTATAACGAACTCAAAGGGACTACTAATTTCAGTTCGTTATAACCGCAGTTCGTTATATGCACATATATAGCATAACTACAGCAGCTAGTCGGGACCAAAAAAGTTCGTTATATCCGTCATTTCGTTATAAGCTTGTTCGTTATAACCTTAGTTTACTGTACGTCTTTTTGGTATGACGCGGCCGGGGATTGAACCCCGGACCTTCCACTCTCCGGGCCGACGCTTTACCACTAGACCACGGAGGCGATTTAGCAGTTTATAGAGTGGTATATAAAGTTGTATCCAGAGTGGTATATAGAGCAGTATAAATAGCGTCATTTAGAGTGACATATAGAGTTTTGTCTTGTGTAGTATATTGAGCAGTATATAGAGCGGTATATAAGGTGGTATGCAGAGTAGTATGAAGAGCGGTATAGAGAGTGGTATGTGGAGTGGTATATGGAATAGTATACAGAGCTGTATAGAGAGCGGTACCTGGAGTGGTATATAGAATAGTATACAGGGTATATAGAGCGTTAAGTAGAGGAATATATATGGTGTTATACAGTGGTATTTAGGGCGATGTATATAGTCGTATATAGAGAGCTGTATATAGAGCGGTATGTATAGTTGTATATAGAGAGGTATGCAGAGCTGTATATAGAGTGGTATGTAGAGTGGTATTTAGAATGGTTTACAGGGTATACAGAGCGGTATGTAGAGTGATATATATGGAATTATAGAGTGGTATTTAGAGCGGTGTATATAGTCGTATATAGAGAGTATAGAGAGCTGTATATAGAGCGGTATGTAGAGTTGAATATAGAGAGGTATGCAGAACTGTATAGAAAGTGGTATGTAGAGTGGTATATAGGATGGTATACAGGGTATACAGAGCGGTATGTAGAGTGATATATATGGAATTATAGAGTGGTATTTAGAGCGGTATGAGAGGTATGCAGAGCTGTATATAGAGTGGTATGTAGAGTGGTATATAGAATGGTATACAGGGTATACAGAGCGGTATGTAGAGTGATATATATGGAATTATAGAGTGGTATTTAGATATTCAGATAATTATAGAGCGGTATATAGAGTGGTATGTAGAGTTGTATATAGAGAGGTATGCGAGCGGTATTTTGAGTAATATGTGGATTGGTGTATAGAACGGTATGCAGGGTATATAGAGCGGTATGTAGAGTGATATTCAGAAAATTATAGAGTGGTATACAGAATGATATATAGGTTGATATATAAAGAGTTATATAAAGAGATATACACCGGAGAGTTCTGTTCGCACCACCCGACCACGATGTCAAGCGAGTATAGCTGAATGATGTGTATGTTCGTCCTAGACTGTCGCACAGTGCGACATGACAATTTGACATTAACGTCCATGATAAGAAGAAGTTTCCGCCATATAAACAGGAATATTTGTGACGTGTGTCTGTGTGATGTAAGGTGGTACGAGTATGCGACACGAGGTGATATACTCGTGTGAAGTAGGGCGGTAACTGTCGGATATTAGGTGTGCTGTTAAACATGTCACGTGTGCTTTGACAAAGGCACATATACATGTGTGTGTATAATTAAAAAAGAATTTAGTTTATATGTGTGTTGATACTATAGTGTTAAACCTACGCCAGACTATAGTGATAGAGATATGGAGTAGTGTTCTATGTATGTGCGACTTTAAATTGTGTAACGTTAATAGTGAGATATAGTGGAGTGTTATGAGTACGTGAGACTAGAGATTGTGTAATGTTATGTGTGAGATATGGAGTGGTTTTATATGCACGTCAGACTATAGACTATTTAATGTTATGTGTGAGATATAGAGTAGTGTTATAAGTACGTAAGACTATATAGACTGTTTAATGTTGTGTGTGAAAAAAGTAGTGTAATAAGTACATGAGACTATAGGCTATTTAATGTTGTATGTGAGATATAGAGTAGCGTTATAAGTACGTCAGGCTATAGACTATTTAATGTTATGTGTGAGATATAGAGTAGTGTTATAAGTACATGAGACTATATCGACTGTGTAATGTTATGTGTGAGATATAGAGTAGTGTTATAAGTACATGAGACTATATCGACTGTGTAATGCTATGTGTGAGATATAGAGTCGTGTTATGAGTACGTAAGACAGTTAAATGTTGTATGTGAGAAAAAGAGTAGTGCTATAAGCACATGAGACTAAAGACTATTTAATGTTATGTGTGAGATATAGAGTAGTGTTATAAGTACGTAAGACTATAGATTGTGTAATGTTATGTGTGAGATATAGAGAAGTGTTATAAGTACGGAAGACTATAGACTGTTTAATGTTATGTGTGAGATATAGAGTGGTGTTATAAGTACGTACGACTATAGATTGTGTGATGTTATGTGTGAGATAAACAGCAATAGTATAATGGTACGTATCCCTCTTAAGTTGGTCAACTGGTCATCAAAACCCCATGCATGATTTAAATACATCGCGATGAAGGAGACTTCTGGACCCTCAATCTGGTCATCTGGACATCTAAACCCCATACATGAGTTAAAAACAAAGTGCGGAAGGGGACATGTGATCCCTCAATCTGGTCAACTGGTCATCAAAACCCCATGCATGATTTAAATACATGGTGCTGAAGGAGACTTCTGGTCACTCAATCTGGTCAACTGGTCATCTAAACCCCATACATGAGTTAAAGACAAAGTGCGGAAGGGGACATGTGATCCCTCAATCTGGTCAACTGGTCATCAAAACCCCATGCATGAGTTAAATACATGGTGCTGAAGGAGACTTCTGGTCACTCAATCTGGTCAACTGGTCATCTAAACCCCATACATGAGTTAAATACATGGTGCTGAAGGAGACATGTTATCCCTCAATCTTGTCATCTGGTCATCTAAACCCCATACATGAGTTAAAGACATCGCGATGAAGGAGACTTCTGGACCCTCAATCTGGTCATCTGGACATCTAAACCCCATACATGAGTTAAAAACAAAGTGCGGAAGGGGACATGTAATCCCTCAATCTGGTCAACTGGTCATCAAAACCCCATGCATGATTTAAATACATGGTGCTGAAGGAGACTTCTGGTCACTCAATCTGGTCAACTGGTCATCTAAACCCCATACATGAGTTAAATACATGGTGCGGAAGGGGACATGTGATCCCTCAATCTGGTCAACTGGTCATCAAAACCCCATGCATGAGTTAAATACATGGTGCTGAAGGAGACTTCTGGTCCCCCAATCTGGTCAACTGGTCATCTTAACCCCATACATGAGTTAAATACATGGTGCTGAAGGAGACATGTTATCCCTCAATCTTGTCATCTGGTCATCTAAACCCCATACATGAGTTAAAGACATCGCGATGAAGGAGACTTCTGGACCCTCAATCTGGTCATCTGGACATCTAAACCCCATACATGAGTTAAAAACAAAGTGCGGAAGGGGACATGTAATCCCTCAATCTGGTCAACTGGTCATCAAAACCCCATGCATGATTTAAATACATGGTGCTGAAAGAGACTTCTGGTCACTCAATCTGGTCAACTGGTCATCTAAACCCCATACATGAGTTAAATACATGGTGCGGAAGGGGACATGTGATCCCTCAATCTGGTCAACTGGTCATCAAAACCCCATGCATGAGTTAAATACATGGTGCTGAAGGAGACTTCTGGTCCCCCAATCTGGTCAACTGGTCATCTTAACCCCATACATGAGTTAAAGACATTGCGATGAAAGAGACTTCTGGTCCCTCAATCTGGCCATGGTCATCTGGTCATTTAAACCCCATACATGAGTTAAAGACATCGCGATGAAAGAGACTTTTGGTCCCTCAATCTGGTCATCTAAACCCCATACATGAGTTAAAGACATCGCGATGAAAGAAACTTCTGGTCCCTCAATCTGGTCATCTGGTCATCTGGTCATCTAAACCTCATACATGAGTTAAATACATGGTGCTGAAGGAGACTTCTGGTCACTCAGTCTGGTCATCTGGTCTTCTAAACCCCATACATGAGTTAAAGACATCGCGATGAAAGAGACTTCTGGTCCCACAATCTGGTCAACTGGTCATCTAAACCCCATCCATCAGTTAAAGACATTGCGATGAAAGAGACTTCTGGTACCCCAATCTGGTCATCTGGTCATCTAAACCCCACACATGAGTTAAATATATAGTGGAATGGTCGCACTTACCCAGGACGAAAGTGTCTGGTGCTGTTGGTCGGTGCGGCGTCCATGACGGCGTACATCCCAATAGTCTCCAACAGCAACATGCACCACCACGGCGTCAGCTTCATCTCGTACGCACGACGTTGTCCACTCTAGTCTCACAGGTATCCTCGCGCGTCCACTGATCAACCTCCGGCCAACTGACCAGCCATCTACTGCACCACACAATCAACTGCCAACCCACCACCAAGGTGAAATCATTCAGTGGGAAATATCACAAAAACTAAAAATGACCAATTTAATTTGTTCACAGGACTTCCTCTGAATATAATAATAATTGCACATCTGTCAGAGCCGACGATAGTCGAGTCTGTCTCGTGTCCACCTGAGACGGCCGACTTCACAGCGCGCGCTCCTTGTCGTCTGCCTACGATCGTCTGCTTACAGTTTCACAGCTACCACACTTGAATGACGACGGAGAACCAAACCTCCGCTCTAACTCCCGTCTGTAAGGGGGTGCGTTCTCGACTCTCGAGTAGCCGGCCGTTAGAGAGTTCTCCCTCTCGCTCCTTCCTACAGTCAAACGGTGGGGGACGGCAGCTGACAAACCGTTCTGTCCTAACTATACCCGCGTAGCGCGTCCGTCGCGGGGGGAGAACCTACTTGTGTAACGTTCCCTCACTCACAGCGCCAGATTATCGCTTTTCCTGTCACATGATATGCTTTATACTGATAGTCTGCGATGTTCTATTTCGCCAGATGCTGGTCCTATATTCATCTGTATATAATACGCAATCCTTAACGTAGTCAAGAAAGCCTTTACCGCGTGGCTACTACTGAGAGTAGCGCGTGCCCACTGAGGACGGCGGCATTGACGGACTTCCCGCGAGCTACGTCCTGACGCCGGAACATCGTCAAGTTAGATTCCTGGTCGGTAAATGCCCACATTTTGCTTTCAAAACAAACACTAAATAGTGCAGCTGTGAAACACAATATAGGCATTATCTCCATTATAAACACCAACTTAAGATGGATTCAGTGATACTGTTGGCTATATTTACTGGGGAGTCATCATTACTGACTACAGGGGGTATTTAACTGCATATTGAGTTTCCTAGTCAACATCGTTGTGCTGCCACCCGTATCAGTCAAACATCCTCACGTCCTTCGCATTTCTCCAAGTTCCCCGTCCGTATCAATCTCCACAAACCCTCCCCAGTCCTTACAGGATGACCCACGAAGGTTGTATCTATAGGAGATGCCCCACGTTGTATCTATAAGGGAAGACCCACGTTGTATCTATAGGAGATGCCCCACATTGTATCTATAAGGGAAGACCCACGTTATATCTATAGGAGATGCCCCACGTTGTATCTATAAGGGGAGACCCACGTTGTATCTATAGGAGATACCCCACGGACGTTGTATGTAGAAGGGATGACCCACGTTGCATCTATAAGGGAAGACCCACGTTGTATCTATAAGGGGAGACCCACGTTGTATCTGTAAGAGATGACCCACGTTGTATCTATAAGGGGAGACCCACGTTGTATCTATAAGGGAAGACCGGCGTATGTTGTATGTACAAGGGATGACCCACGGACGTTGTATCTGTAAGAGATGACCCACGTTGTATCTATAAGGGAAGACCCACGTTGTATCTATAAGGGGAGACCCACGTTGTATCTGTAAGAGATGACCCACGTTGTATCTATAAGGGCAGACCCACGTTGTATCTATAAGGGAAGACCCACGTATGTTGTATGTACAAGGGATGACCCACGGACGTTGTATCTGTAAGAGATGACCCACGTTGTATCTATAAGGGAAGACCCACGTTGTATCTATAACAGATGATTCCCCACGTACGTTGTATGTAGTATGTAGAAGGGATGACCCACGGACGTTGTATCTATAAGAGATGACCAACGTTGTATCTATAAGGGAAGACCACGTTGTATCTATAAGACATTACCAACTTTGTACCTTGAAGGGATAACACATACGTTCGTTGTGTCTAAAAGTCTAAAGGAGATGACCCACGTATTCCGTATCTATAAGATATGACCCAAGTATTCTGTATCTATAAGAGATGACCCACGCTGTATCTATAAGAGATGACCCACGCTGTATCTATAAGAGATGACCCACGCTGTATCTATAAGAGATGACCCATGCTGTATCTATAAGAGATGACCCACGCTGTATCTATAAGAGAAGACCCATGCTGTATCTATAAGATATGACCCATGCTGTATCTATAAGAGATGACCCACGCTGTATCTATAAGAGATGACCCATGCTGTATCTATAAGAGATTACCCACGCTGTATCTATAAGAGATGACCCACGCTGTATCTATAAGAGATGACCCATGCTGTATCTATAGGAGATGACCCACGCTGTATCTATAACAGATGACCCATGTTGTATCTATAAGATATGGCCAATGTTCGTTGTATCTAAAGGTGATGGCCAACGTACGTTGTACCTGTAAGAGATGACCCACGCTGTATCTATAAGAGATGACCCACGCTGTATCTATAACAGATGACCCACGCTGTATCTATAAGATATGGCCAATGTACGCTGTATCTCAAGGTGATGGCCAACGTACGTTGTACCTGTAAGAGATGACCCACGCTGTATCTATAAGAGATGACCCACGCTGTATCTATAACAGATGATCTACGCTGTATCTATAAGATATGGCCAATGTACGCTGTATCTGAAGGTGATGGCCAACGTACGTTGTACCTGTAAGAGATGCCCCGCGTACGTTGTTTCTAAAGGTGATGACCAACGTACGTTGTATCAACGCTCTATCTATAAGGAGTTTAGTTCAGATTATCCAGGCCTCGCTTGCTTCTAATCAGAGACCACAAACTAAAATAAAATATTTTATGGTCTCTGTTCTAATCAAGGAATACAAGCTGCTTGTGGTTCACGTGTTCTCCAACATGTACCTCACGCTTCTTGGGATTGTCTTACTTAAATGTTTATTGGCTATGATAGAGAAATCCTGTCTGTCGGCAAATACAGGAAGCCTATGAGTAACTCTTGTTATCAGGTGATCTTGATCTGCATCAGGTCGCTAATTTCAATAACTCGTTGCCTACTTCATGCCTTCCGTAATACGGCGCATGCGCCCCAGGAGGCTATCGTTTGCAGTCATTACGACAGTTAACCCCAGGCCTCTCTAGACTACGTCACAGCACAGCCATGATAAGTCAGTTGTCACACACAAAATCATTACATTAGAGCCAACATGGTCGCTCCCTGAGTTTGCGTACGGTATGATAAAATCTCGTCAATCGTTTGATCGTATGAGGCTACCGATAGTCTATCTCTCAGCGTGAGTGTAGATCTATCGTTATGAGCTGAGTACCCATAATTAGCAGATACGTTGATCTGGCAGCTGAAGAAGCACATAGGGAGCCCTTTAATCTGCCACGAAGGAGTGTGTGAGTGAGTGTGTTGGGTTTAACGCCGCTTTTAACATTACACCAGTTATGTCACGGCGTGCCAGCTTAATGTGGCAGGAAACACCGAAGTGATGCAGGTCTCAGACGTTTACCACTTTGGTGAACCAAAGAGTATGGTATATGGGTGCTGACAAACCTAGAAACATAATCGAAGCTTTGTATTGTTGTACATCCAGCTTTGTATTGTTGTACATCTTGCTTTGTATTGTTGTACATCTAGCTTTGTATTGTTGTACATCTTGCTTTGTATTGTTGTACATCTTGCTTTGAATTGTTGTACATCTAGCTTTGTATTGTTGTACATCTTGCTGTGTTTTGTTGTACACCTTGCTTTGTATTGTTGTACATCTTTCTGTGTTTTGTTGTACATCTTGCTTTGTATGGTTGAACATCTTGCTTTGTATAGTTGTACATCTTACTGTGTATTGTTGTACACCTTGCTGTGTTTTGTTGTACACCTTGCTTTGTATTGTTGTACATCTTGCTGTGTTTTGTTGTACATCTTCCTTTGTATGGTTGTACATCTTGCTTTGTATAGTTGTTCATCTTACTGTGTATTGCTGTACATATTGCTGTGTATTGCTGTACACCTTGCTGTGTTATGCTGTACATCTTGCCGTGTATTGTTGTACATCTTCCTGTGTATTGTTGTACATCTTGCTGTGTATTGTTCTACATCTTGCTGTGTATTGTTGTACATCTTGCTGTGTATTGTTGTACGTCCAGCTTTGTATTGTTGTACATCTTGCTGTGTATTGTTGTACATCCAGCTTTGTATTGTTGTACATCTTGCTGTGTATTGTTTTACATCTTGCTGTGTATTGTTGTACGTCCAGCTTTGTATTGTTGTACATCTTGCTGTGTATTGTTGTACGTCCAGCTTTGTATTGTTGTACATCTTGCTGTGTATTGTTGTACATCCAGCTTTGTATTGTTGTACATCTTGCTGTGTATTGTTGTACGTCCAGCTTTGTATTGTTGTACATCTTGCTGTGTATTGTTGTACATCCAGCTTTGTATTGTTGTACATCTTGCTGTGTATTGTTTTACATCTTGCTGTGTATTGTTGTACGTCCAGCTTTGTATTGTTGTACATCTTGCTGTGTATTGTTGTACATCCAGCTTTGTATTGTTGTACATCTTGCTGTGTATTGTTGTACGTCCAGCTTTGTATTGTTGTACATCTTGCTGTGTATTGTTGTACGTCCAGCTTTGTATTGTTGTACATCCAGCTTTGTATGGTTGTACATCCAGCTTTGTATGGTTGTACATCCAGCTTTGTATTGTTGTACGTCCAGATTTGTATGGTTGTACATCCAGCTTTGTATTGTTGTACATCCAGCTTTGTATTTTTGTACGTCCAGCTTTGTATGGTTGTACGTCCAGCTTTGTATTGTTGTACATCTTGCTGTGTATTGTTTTACATCCAGCTTTGTATGGTTGTACGTCCAGCTTTGTATTGTTGTACGTCCAGCTTTGTATAGTTGTACATCTTGCTGTGTATTGTTGTACATCTTGCTGTGTATTGTTTTACATCCAGCTTTGTATGGTTGTACGTCCAGCTTTGTATGGTTGTTCGTCCAGCTTTGTATTGTTGTACATCTTGCTGTGTATTGTTGTACATCTTGCTGTGTATTGTTTTACATCCAGCTTTGTATGGTTGAACGTCAAGCTTTGTATGGTTGTACATCTTGCTGTGTATTGTTGTACACCTTGCTGTGTATTGTTTTACATCCAGCTTTGTATGGTTGTACGTCCAGCTTTGTATTGTATTGTTTTACATCCAGCTTTGTATGGTTGTACGTCCAGCTTTGTATGGTTGAACGTCCAGGTTTGTATGGTTGTACGTCCAGCTTTTTATGGCTGAACAGTCAGCTTAAATTTGTATTGTTTAACAGCCAGCTTTGTATTGTTGTACATCCGGCTTTGTATTGGTGTACGTCCGGTGGAAAGATGTGAGTTGCGGCCCTTAGCTGTCAGGATCCGCTTGTCGCTGTGTTTACCCCATTAACGTTTCTGGCTGTCATCGCCTAGCTACCCCTTGCTGGCAGGTTTCACGTCTTTCTTCTCGCGTTATGGAAATTGTCAGATTTAACTTTAGTTGTGTTCAAAGCTACAGGGCCGATTGTGTGGTGGTGCGTAACGATGATGAACTAACAGCAGTTGGTTTGTTTGATGGAGACCCAAACATGTATTAAAACCGTATTCGACGTAATAAGCGCCCAGGGCGCTCTCAAGATTAGAAAAAGGGGGCTCTTATAAGAATATAGTTTTGGTAAGAAAAAAAGCAGAGTTGAAAGATCGGTAATGTATTGTGGTTTATGCTGACATCCTAATATGA